TTTTTTTTTTTTTTTTTTTTTTTTTTTTTTTTTTTTTTTTTTTTTTTATATTTCTTTTTCGTTCTTTCTTCTTTTTTTTATTTTTTTTTGATTTTTTTTTCTTTTTGTTTTTGTTGTTCTTTGTTTTTCTTCTTCTTTCTGTTCTTTTTTTCTCTTCCTTTTTTTTTCTTTTTCTTTTTGTTGTTCTTTCTTGTCCTTTTCTCTCTATTCTTTTTGTTCTTTTTGTTTTTTTTCTGTTTTGTTTTACTTTTTTTTGTTTTTGTTTTTCTTCTTCTTTCTCTTCTTTTTGTTTTTGTTGTTCTTTGATTTTCTTGTTCTTTCTGTGCTTTTTCTCTCTATTCTTTTTGTTCTTTTTTTTCTTTTTGTTCTTTTTTTTTTTGTTCTTTGTTTTTCTTCTTCTTTCTCTTCTTTTTCTTTTTTTCTGTTTCTGTATGGTTTTTTTCTTTTTTTCGTTTTCTTCTTTTTCTTTCTTTTTTTTCTTTTTCTTTTTCTTTTTTCTTTTAAACCCTACCACTTCTCTTTGTCCTCCAAGAGCGTTTTCCTAGGGTTTAGGGTTTAGGGTTTAGGGTTTAGGGTTTGGGGTGTATGTGCAGGTGTTGGCTGCCCTGAGGTCTCCAGATGCTACCGCTGCTGAGCCTCCCCCCCCCGTGTCTCTGCAGCAGCAAAACCAGCTTCGTGCTGCTGCCTGCAGCAACATAAGACGCAGCATCAGCAGCAGCAGCAGCAGCAGCAGCAGCAGCAGCAGCAGCAGCAGCAACAGTTATCCTTTGTCTTCTGTCTGCTTCAGCCGCCACATCTCTCTAGCTGCCCCCAAGGAGGAAGCAGCAGCTCTCCGCAGCCTGCGAGCAGCACCAAACCCAGCAGCAGCAGCAGCAGCAGCAAAAGAAAAAGCAGCAGCAGCAGCAGCAGCAGCAGCAGCAAGACACTCGCTGCTGATGGAAGAGCAGCAACCCGTGGGGGCCCCCAGCCTTCCGGCCTGGGCCCCTGCAGAAGCAGACACACAGCAGCAGCAGCAGCAGCAGCGCAGCAGCAACCGCAGCAGCAGCCACCCTAGCAGCAAGCTCAGCAGCAGCAAGCGCAGCAGCAGCAACCGCAGCAGCAGCAGACGCAGCAGCTGCACAGTCAAGGCTCCCCAACGTCGTCGCCGCAGCAGCAAAGTAGCAGCAGCAACTGCTGCTGCAGCAGCAAGAACAGCAGCAGCTGCAGCAGCAAATAGCAGCAATCTGCAGCAAGCAGACCTCACATTTACAGAGCAGCAGCCAGAGGCAGCAGCTGCCATTGAACTGCAGCAACCCGCAGCACCCGAGGCAGCAGCAGCAGCAGAAGCAGCAGCAGCAGCAGCAGCAGCAGCAACACCGCCGAGGCAGTCAACCAACCCCTTCGATGAGGACCTAACGGACCCCTCCCCCTCTCCTCCTGCTGAGACACAGGAGACAGAGGCAGCAGCAGCAGCAGCAGCAGCAGCAACAGCAGCAGCAGCAGCAGAGGAGAATGCAGAAGCGGCTCTGCTGCGTACTCTGTGTGGGCTGCTGCAGCGGCTGCAGCGGGAGCAGCCGCTGCTGCTGGCAGCAGAAGCACCAATAGTAACGAAGCAGCTGCAGCAGCAACCGATGGAAGATGTGCTGCAGCAGCTGCTGCAGCAGCAGAAGCTCAGCAGCAGCAAAGAGGAGCTGCTGGCGCTGCAGCAAAAGTTCACAGCAGCAGCAGATGGCTCCACACCCAGGTCGATGTTTGCTGCCTTTCTCAGCTTTCTCAGGGGGGCGGAGAAGCAGCAGCTGCAGCAGCAGCAGCAGCAGCAGCAGCAGCAGCAACAGCAGCAGCAGCAGCAGCTGCTGCAGCAGCAAGAAGAGGAGCGACTGCTGCAAGAGGTCGAGACTCAGCATTTGAAAGAGCAGCAGCAGCAGCAGCTGGAGCTTGAGCAGCAGCAACAACTGCAGCAGCAAGAGCAGCAACAACTGCAGCACGAAGAGCAGCAGCAACTGCAGCAGAGAGAGCAGCAGCAGCTACAGCAAGAGGAGCAGCAGCAACTGCAGCAGCAACTGCAGCAGCAAGAACAGCAGCAACTGCAGCACGAAGAGCAGTTGCAGCTGCAGCAGGAAGAGGAGGAGAAACTGCAGCAGCAAGAGCAACAGCAACTGCAGCAAGAAGAGCAGCGGCAGCTGCAGCAGCAGAAGCAACAGCAACTGCAGCAGCAGCTGCAGCAGGAGGAGCAGCAGCAGCTCCAGCAGGAGGAGCAGCAGCAACTCCAGCAGGAGGAGCAGCAGCAACAGCAGCACGAAGAGCAGCAGGAGGCGCAGCAGCAACTGCAGCAGGAGTGGGAGGAGCAGCAAATGCAACAGGAAGAGCAGAGGCAACTGCAGCAGGATTGCGAGCAGCAGCAGCAGCAGCAGCAGCAGGAGCAGCAGGACGAGCAGCAGCAGCAGCAAGTGCAGCAGCAAGATCAGCTGGAGCAGCAAGAGGAGCAGAATGCATGTGAAGAGGAGGAACAGAAACAGCAGCAGCAGCAGCAGCAACAGCAACAGCAGCAGGAAGAAGCACCAGCAGCAACAGCTGCTGCAGCTGCTGGCTCCGATGACGATGCTGTCGTCCCCTCCAGCGCCATAGAGCCAGCAGCAGCAGCAGCAGCAGCAGCAGCAGCAGCAGCAGCAGGAGCAGCAGCAGGAGTTGTGTCTATCAAGCGCTGTGAGTCTAGAGGAGAGTCTGCTGCCTGTATTGATGCAGCAGAAGCAGCAGACACTGCAACAGCAGCAGCAGCAGCAACAACAGCAGCAGCAGCAGCAACAACAGCAGCAGCAGCAGCAGCAGCTACTGCTGCTGCTGCTGCATCAGAGCTGGGGCCCTGCATGCTTGGGTTGAGCTCGGAAGGGGTCCCCCAGTCCCCGAAACCTGCTGCTGCAGCAGCACCAGCAGCAGCAGCAACAGCAGCAACAGCAGCAGCAGCAGCAGCAGCAGCAGCAGCAGCAGCTGACGGCATCTGTCCGTCTGTGCTGCAGCAGCAAGAGTCACACGAACATTTAGTTTCTTACAACAGCAGAGGGTCCTTGGGGGGCCCCCTGGGGGCCCCCCTGATAGGAGAAGACGAAGCAGAGGAGATACAGGAAAGGCTGCTGCAGGAGGTGGCGCAGCAGCAACGCTCTGTTGGTGCTGCTTGGGGCTGCAGCAACAGCAGCAGCAGCAGCAGCAGCAGCAGCAGCAGCAGCAGCAGCAGCAGCAACGTGGTGCTGCTTCCTTGTGGAGGAGGGGTCGGTGGGGGGGTGTTGCTGTCCGAGGGACCCAAGAGAGCAGCAGCAGCAACAGCAGCAACAGCAGCAGCAGCAGCAGCAGCAGCAGCCGAAGCAGCAGCAGAAGCAACAGCAGCAGCAGGCGATGCAGCTTTATCTGAGGGTGAGGCTGAGGCTGTCTTTTCTGTTTTTTTAAATAGAAGGAGACAAAAGAGACAAAAACAACAAAACAGAAGTGCATCTGTCTCTCCTGTCTCCTCTTCTCTTCTTGCTGCTGCAGCAGCAGCAGACTTCCTCTCTCATTCTCTCCCTGCTGCTGCTGCTTCTCACCCCCACCCCAACCCCCAGCAGCAGCAGCAGCAGCAGCAGCAGCAGCAGCAGCAGCAGCAGCAGCAGCAGCAGCAGCAGCAGCAGTCAATAGAAGAGGTGTTTTCTCCTCTGCCGCTACCCCTATACGAGCCCCTAGACAGTAGGTACAGCTCTGGGGGCCCCTACTCATCAGGGGGGCCCCCCTCTCCCCGGGGGCCCCCCTCCAGCGGGGGCCCCTCGGGCCAGTCAACTCGTGCTTCTGCTGAGAGCAGCATTGGTGCTGCTGAGGGGCCCCTTCTTATTGAGCAGCAGCAGCTGCTGCAGCAGGAGCTGCAGCAGCAGCACATGCAGCAGCAGCATATGCAGCAGCAGCAGCAGCAGCAGCAACTACTACGACGCCGTGGCGGC